AAAGAGATTCATGCATTGCAAGAGAAGATTCATGCATCGCGAGAAAAAGTTTCATGCATCGCAGAAAAAGAAATTATGCATCGCGAGAAAATCAACGTCGGCTACATCATTTCCATTTGCAACAACGACATCAAGAGAACCATCAACATATTACATCTGCCTATTTTATTACTTCGTCATCAAAAGAAGGGTACATTGAAGATTATATTACAAATACAAAATACAAGCTTTATTTGCTTCACGCCAAACCCGATAGAGTTTACGTCAAATATTCAAGGAGAACAATTAAGTGTCAACACGGTAAAATACACTGTCTCCCATTTGAATTGCATTTTTTATGCTAAATGAGTTTTATCTCAGTCTTTGTTGAGAGCATCCGAAAGGATGAATTCTCCAAACAAACCACAGGTGCGGACGACATCAAAAAGGATGCAGCACAACATGGAACTTTTTCTTAGCAGCGAACTGGGACATAGTCCAAAGAGGAATACCAAACTCTTAGGACGCGAGCAGAGGGGCGACTTCCACCACAATCAAACCACACCCCTATTAGAAAGCATATGGGTTTCTCTTTAGGTTTCCTGGTTTCAGTTTCGCATACGAAAATTTTGGTTTCTACCCGAAGAAGCTTTCCAATCTGAGTGATAATGCACCAAGAGCTTTGGAAATTATGTCTGTGTAAGTTCTTAATTATGGGTGTGAAGTGCACCACATTCATGACTAAGAGGTTGTAAGCCTTTTTTTCATACTCGACTTATTGTCACTCTTTCCAACCGAAGGTTATCTTAGCATAATAGATTTTCTTTTCAACCGATCGAATCGAACTACAAGCAGCCTAATTCCCTAAGTTTAGAGATATGTAGGCGGGATCAGTCTCGAAAACTCGGTTGTATTCCAACATTCTCTCTTAAAACCTATTCTCGAGCATTCCGGTGTCTTCATAATTCAATATCGGGATGACATTGAATTCTTTCAAAATCGTGCGTCAAATCAAGCGTTTTGAGCTACAAGTGGCCTGAATTCTCATATAGCCTGAGATATGTAGGAAACCCATTTCTTCATTTGCCTCGAATTTCTTTCATCAATCCAAGTCAAACGAGGGACAGTTGTTGACACCCAATTTTGACCCTCCACAATATAAATTAATCACCGAGCTTCTTCAATTTGGAATGATTTGAAATAATTGGCTTTATAAAAATTCAAAATAATTTTCAAGTCATTTTAAGTAGTTTGTCATTTTTATAAATTTTAAAATAATGAATATGATATCTTATATAATTAGGTGTCTAATTAGTATATTTTATGAATGTTCAAAAAATTGTCTCAAAAAGGTTTTAGCTTTATTTAAATATTTGGTTATCTAGTTTAAATTAATTAATAGCTTATATTTCTAGTTAATTGTTTATAATTAATTTAATTATTATATAATTATGTGCCTAATTACCACATTTTATGAATATTCAAAAATCGTCTCAAAAAGAGTTTGTTTTAATTAAATATTCAATTAAATTAATTTGGTCTAAAGTATAAGTTATTTATTTTATTAGTTTAATTATTCTTATTTTATTTTATTTTGTCTTATTTAATTTTGTTGCTTTGAAAAGCACATTTTATTTAAGTTACGCTACTTAAGTTATGGCTATAGTTTTAAATTAATTAGTTTATAATTAAGTTAATTATTTTATTTTGTTAAGATTAAGAAGCTCATTAATTAATTAATATCAATCTATCTTGTTTAATTACTAGCCGAATCTATCTTAGCTAAATCTAATTGGCTAAATTTTTCTAACCCCCCTTTCAACCGACCCCTTCCAGCAATATAACAATACATACATGTACCAACCGACCCAACAATATATTATAATAATACAACAGCCTACACTAATTGACCCCACCTCTTTTTCCCTTTTAATTCCTAACATACATTACATACAATTCAAAAATATGGACATACACGTACAGCAGTAACCAATGACCCCATCTGCGTCTCCTTCTTCTTCAAGCAAGGACCAGAAACGTCAAAGGAGCAGCAATCCAAAATGTCAATAGCAGCTGTGCGAGCAACCCTGCTGCCTTGTCCGGATTTTCTGGGATTTTTGGAGAAAATTTCATACCAAACCCAGTGGCTCCTTGTTCCTTGAAAAGGATTTTGAATTTTGAATTCGGAGGAGAATTTCGTTTCTGCCCCTGTTCCTATCCGTTCTTCATTCAAACCGAACCCGAATTTTCCCCTATAAATACATCTTTTCTTGTCATTTTTGAGGGTTGGAAAATTTTTAGAGCAAAGAATACTTATAGCAACTTAAGCGAAAGCAGTAAAAAATACATACTAAGCATATTTGAAATAGAAGAGAGATCAGTGAGACTATAGTGGGGTTCTCCTGCTCATTCATTAGAGAGTTCTCATAATCTCATTTTGTTGGGAAAGGTCGTTATCTTCTTGCTCGTTTTGCCCCTGTTCTCTGCCCATCAAGAGGTAAATAACTCTAACCTCTTTTGTTTTTTTGTTTAGTTTCCCAGTAAACGTTCAGGTGTGAGTTGTGGATAGTGTGGGCCTCGAGATGCTCTTACATGATGTGTTCAAATCTAAGTGATGACTTTAATCTTCATCTTATTTTTCTGAAGTGAATAATGTGTGTTTAGACTCTAAAATAACTTAATGCTCGTTTTGGCTTGTCTCTCTGTTTGTTCTTCCTTCTTCCGAATTCGTGATCATTGTGCTCGCCTCGAGATTTAGTTTGTTCTTCACTAGATAGTCATGGTACTGTTTTGCTCTTATCTTGTTGAAACGACACTCATGCTTCCGTTATGTTATTGGACGATGCCGAATGAATAATGTTATTGTACATTTAGTTGTTGTTAAGTACAAGTTGGATTTTTGAGTTTGTGTTCTTCAAGGCATGTCAAAAAAAAATCTGTTTATATCTTGTTTTGGGAGGAAAACGTCTCATACTCGTCCTCTAGAGCCATTTGTTTTCTCACTGTTTTAGCCTAAAAAATGTGTGACTATGAATCTTATTGTCTTCTTTTATTTCTAGGTATATTTTGGTTTGTTTTGGTGTTGTTTAATAGTGGAAATCTGAAAATTTCAGTCAGCATCTTAATTATCCTTCGTTCTTGTATCCGTCTTGCGATAGAATTTTTTATTTTTATTTTTATTTTTTTTTATGATCTGTCGTTCTTTGTAGCGTCATCC